ATCCTATTCTAATAGCTAGGAAAATAAGTCTATTTTAATAAGTGTTTGCAATTTACATCTTTTAATTTGTTTTTGTTCCTCATACTGTGGTTCAAGAAAAGCTTCTTTTGCAAACCAAACAGCATTCACAGCCCAAAGAAATGGCAACAGTAGAAACCCCGCTATAAAATAACAACAGGTAAATTAAAAAATGCACGTAATAGAATACTGGACGTAACAGTTTTGCTTACCTCTAAAATACCATTTACAGAGATATAATTTTTTGTCATTTGGAACTTTTGATAGATCCATTGTCACTGCTTACAAATTGTAACCTACACTTCCACTGTCTAAAATACACTACCACCGAACAACTAGAGTCTATTAAGTATTGTGAAAGTATATTTGCGTTTTTTATATTCAAAAAATCAGCGAATAATTACTAAAGTTGAGGGCGCATAAAAGGACGTAATAGCGAAAACATTTATGACATGTCAAATCAAAATGATCAAAATTGAAGGTTCTCTTCCAGGAAGAAATGCTACTCCATTTCTTCTGTAGATGGAGTAGTCGGGTAAAAAGAAAGGAAGAATGTGCTTCAGTGGTTTTCACATGGCATACAAACGTGAATATTGAGAATGCAGGAAACGCATTAAAAAGAAGGATTAAATTAAGAAGTACGATCGCTTACTTTGTTCTGCGCATTAAATCGTTCTTGGAATTTCTATCTTACTTGAAGAATGAACGTAGAACATTAGACAATCTTGAGAAAGTAAATACATGACTTTCGAATGAGCACCCCTACGGTAATCGCGATGGTGGGAACTTGGGAACGCGTCACGTGATCAGTTAGCTTGCTGCTCCGTTTGTCGCGCGAGTAACAGTGGCCAGCCATTTTGATTAGTAACATGGCGTCAGCGGAGATTAATATGGCGTCCTCGGACATAATAACCGAAGTAGAGATTCAACCAGACATCCAAGAGGTTGAAATAGAAACAATACCGGTAGAGATACCCTGCGAGACCGTGGAAACTACCATCGAGGGGGACGATGGCCAGCCGATGATAGCTCTTCAAACACTTCCAGAGCCAGGACGTGAGGAAATCATACTACAGACGCAAGAGGAAATTGTTGGTAGTGATCCGCTAAGCGTATATGATCAGATTCCCGTGCCGGAGAACGATATTTATGTCGAATCAAGTCCGGGTCCATCGAGAAAGGGTCCCAAGAAGGCCAAAAAGGGCGGCTCATCGAAATTCAGATCGTCCGAGCATACGATCTTCGGTGAAATGGGCTCGGAGACGAAGGCTAGGAAGTGGGAGCAGAAGCAAGTGCAAATCAAGACGCTTGAGGGTGAATTCTCGGTGACAATGTGGGCATCAGGCACCGATGACGGTAAGCCTTATATTTATTTATCCCTCGTCTAATATCTCGTTAATCCGCATAAAAACACCGAAGTATGCTGTTGAGTAGAAAGCTTTTCTGTAACGAGTCTATCTTCGTGCACACTGTTCGTACGCACTTCCGGTTGTATCAAATCAATACCGTGGTTCTCGTACGGGTTTCCCAATGGAACTAATTCAGTCTTCTAATTCTTTATTATTGACGAATTCGTTGACAGTTTGCGTTGTTTGTTTTGATCGAAGGAACGCCATTATGCTGCCAGGGGGCAGCCATATTTTGAAAATGGCTTCTTTTACGTGGATCTATCCCTCTTGAATGATAATGGCGGAGATGTACATGCACACGTAGTACTTACAACAGAATGGACAATGCACTGTGACCGCTTTATCTTTGTTTTCTTAAGCGTGTTACTTGATCCTTCATTATCTTCTCTTATTGCTGCATTTATTTCTGAACATTTATTTCAAGGAACTTGGGCAATTTATTTAACATAAATATTTTTTGAAAAGAATGCATTTATCCTTTTGAATACGAAACATGGTTTAAATTCTTACGCCGCCCGAATGAAAATTTCAACTTCTTTTTAAATGTCTCGTATTATGAAATCATTTCCT